TGGGGAGGGTCCTGGAGAAAGGCAGGGCTGTTCATGAGATTAAGTCCTTTTGCTTTTCATCATTTCCCCCCCTCAGCATCTTTCTGTGAAATAATCACCAGAGTGACCCAGGGATGCCACTGCATTGCGGATCCCTGCCTTTTGACCTCTCTGGCCAACCTGGGTTTTAAGTTCCTGTTATTTGGTACTTACATGTGTAACCTCATAAACTACAGAACATATACAGGAGATCCCTAATGTTTCAAGGGGAATGAAGGATTTGTTCAGTTTTTCATGTTAGTGGAAGCTATGCACTGAGGGAATCTCAACGTTAGGACGTACAGGAAAAATCAGCTGTGAAGGCATAGTGCCATCCCCATCACCTTAGCCACCACATTTAAATAATCTAGACATACCTAAGCCAATGTTTCTCCTGTTCTTATTTTGCGGGGAGGTACCTGGGAATCTAACTCAAAACATCATGCTTGCCAGGCAAGTGCTGCACCACTGAGGTAAATCCCTGGCCCCAAGTTCTCATTTTTTATAAATGAGATAAAGTGATAGCTAGTGATAAAGCAAAACAAAAAGAAAGCTCCAGTTGATTTTGCTAAGTCCCAAAGTAGTGATTTCAAAACTTAAGAGTGTATTAGAATCACTTTGGAGCTTATTAAACATGCACAGACCTGGATGATCTTTGTACTATGTATTTATGTATATATGTATGTTTGTACTGGGAATTGAACTCGGAACCTTGAGCTTATTAGGCAGGCCCTTTGCCACTCAGCTGTATCCCCAGCCCCTTGTACTATTTAGTCACAATTGGGCATTGGTGTTTTCTCAGGTTTCCCAGCTGCTTCTTCAGAAGGACCAGACTTTTAAGCATCACTGTGTGGTGATATGTCATCAAGTTTTAACAGAATATTAGCTTAGTAGTGATGGAATTTTTGTTTTTTGTTTTTTTCGGGTGTCGGAAATCGAACTCACGACCTTGTGCTTGCCAGGCAGGCGCGCTGTGCTGCTGAGCTAAATCTCTAGCCCCAGTGATGGAATTTTAATGTAACAGAATTTTAAGAATGATGTATGCTTGGATTACTTTCATTTGTAAAGGAAGAAAGTCTTGCCTTCATCAGCCTGTGTTGAGGACAAAATTAGGCAGAGTAGAAGGCAACATTTGAAAACCTGACTGACCTTGCCAGGTTTTCTCAAATTTTGTCTAATGGGATTATATTTCCAGATGAGAGTTCTCCTGTGGCTTGTCTTAATTTGCATGAGATACTACAATGTTTCTGATAATCAACTTTGTGAAATCTCTTACATGAGAAGTAATTTTGGAAGACAGTTTCTATTTAGATATATTCTAAATGAGAGTTTATTATTTTAACATGTAACAACATATGTACTTGCCCCAAGTTTCAGAGTTAATTTTTCACGTAGTGCTATTGAATGCTAACCAGTGGATACCAGAAGAAGATTTTTCTACTTATAAAGACATAAAAGGAAAAAGGCTTGGAGGAATAAATTAATAAGATAGTGACCAGTCTATCTATCTGTCTGTCTTATCTATCTATCTATCTATCTATCTATCTATTTATATCTATCCACCTACCTCCCTACCTATGTGGGTTTTTTGAGACAAGGTCTCACTATGTAGTGTAGGCTGGCCTTGAACTCTGCTTATGTAGCCCAGGCTGGCCTCAAGCTGATGGTGATCCTCCTGCCGCAGCTTCCCAAGTGCTGGGATAACAGATGTGCACCACCATACCCAGCTATGACCAGGCTTTTTAAACAGTGACCATAAAAAGTATTCAAGGTCTAAGTGACAGTCAACATCAGGTTTCTTGAATTGGAAGTTCACAGTTTCCAATTGTAGGTGTTGACAGTACACATGGAGATCGGCACTGGGAAGGTGAAGTAGTATTTAAAAGTCTACCGTACAACTGGTGCCAAAGCTTTGGAAGGACAAAATTTCCTAAACCATGGGGTTCCCTTTTCATAGGAAGGAAAGAATCAGGTATTATGCATGGGACAGCCTGTCAGATTTCTTTCAAAAGCGTATCTGGAGGTACCCATCTAGTATGAATATGAATGGTTTCTTAACTAACTTATAGCTTTCAGAAGCACAGATCCTATACTGCCAGTGGCAAATGCTTATCTGTTAGAAATCCTGAACCTTACTTCTATAAAGCAGTGGATTCCCAGTCCACAGTTTCTTGATTCCTGATGATCTACAAAGGTGGTAGGGGAAGGAGCAGTCCCTAAATAATTCCTAAAATTTCAGAAAAGCATTTTGCCTTGAGAAGGTTGTATAGATTGTCCAGAACATGCATGGTGTGACCAAAATATATAATATGTTTAAATTTTAAAAATTTGTTACAATAAAAGACACATTGCCAATAGTCCACCTCAGAATATTCCATTCTTGGCATATCAAATACTACCCCTCACTTCAGATACTCTTATCCCATTTTTCTTGTTTCTTTCTGAAGCAGTTTTGGGAATCTTCTTTCACGAGTGTCTTTATGAGGTATGATTAAAAGTATGGTGAATTCTGTTTCTGAGTGCCATCCAGCAGAAAGGCAGACTCATAAAAATATTATAAGCATGTCCTTATCCTGTCCTTACCTGCCTTGCACCGGATCTGGCGCTGTTGAACTTCTTACTCTTCCTTAAAGCCAAAATGACTGTGAAAGATAAACATTTTGAAGAGATTCAAGACACTGAGGCAGCCACAACAACGCAACACAAGACTCAAAAGAGGACTTCCAGAATGCTTCAGAAAGTGGCAAGAATGATGACGTGTTTGAAGCAAGGGTATTTTGAAAGGGGAATTAATGGCAATATATCTTTTAATGTAATTTTAGAAATATTGAAACAGCCTATTTTTGATCATACCATATAGGTTTTCGGTGGAAGCACATCAAGTCAGTGTGGTAATATTGATGTAATCTGGGAGGTTTCTTTTTTTGTGGGGTGTGGTGTGGGAATCGAACTCAGGACCTTATGCTTGCCAGGCAGGCGCTGGGCTACTGAGCTGAATCTCCAGCCCTAATACTGATGTAATCTGTTGATCAGAAGTGCTGATTGTCAGCACTTTTGATAACTAAATCTCCTGATAGCTGAAAAAGATTGGAAAATAACTTTAAATATTTATCACTGGCATACAAACCAGCAGGACATAGTTCCACTGCAAAGGCCTCAAGCACAGAGAAACAGTAATCAAGAGGTGTGTCTGGTGAGTTGGGAGCCACTAACCTGAAGGCTCGGGCTGACATAGCACTTTCAGTAGTTATCCTAGGCCTTGGTAGGCAGGGATAAGCGTGGAACATCTCAGTCAGACCTTTCTGGTTGTCTTCGATTTTTCTGTGGTGTTTTCTTCAAATTATTTCTCTATTGCAGATAAACTCTATTGGTCAGAGCTGCTTTTAAAATGATTCAGGTTATACTTAAAATGCAACTATACAAATTATGTAAAAAAGAGAATCCTAGTAAGAGAAAGGATTGATAACTGATGTGATCCTTTGTGCAAACTCCAAAGGTATTCTTACAAAGTTGATTCATGCACTGAATTTAGTTGCACAAATTTTCTAATAAAACGAAGTCATTTTAAAATTTTTCTCTGTGTACATTCTTAGGAGGCATTTTAAAGTGGACTTTTGTGTACATTTAAATTGATTTTTGCCATTGCTATTGTTGTTCTGTGTTTGGTATGAAAGTGGTGTTTTTATTTTTGTTTTTAATTTTTTTTTTGGTACTGGGAATCGAACTCATGACCTCATGCTTGCTGGGCAGGCACGGTGCTGATGAGCTACCTCCCCGGCCCGAAAGTGTTGTTTCTAAATGTGATTGTGCATTAACACTAATCTTTCCAGGCTGACTTTTTAAATGATTTGTAAAGATTTATGCATTGGATGAACTGAGAAAACAAATCAGAAAATGAACACTGTGTATTTTCTATTCTGAGGTAATGACTTACTGCTGTTGTATTTAAAAATGAACTGAGGGGGCTGGGGATTTAGCTCAGCGGCAAAAGCGCCTGCCTGGCAAGCGCAAGGTCGTGAGTTCGGTTCCCGGTACCGGAGAAAAACCAAAAA